TCAGCTGAAAGTGTGTGATCACACACGGCGTTGCAGTTGTTGAGTAGAAAAAGGAGAACCTACTAGCGATGGCCTCCAATCTAATAGCGATGGCCTCGAACCCCAATAGCGATGGCCTCCAACCTAATAGGGACAGCATGGGATAGCCTCCAACTAATAGCAATAGCCTCCAAGCACGTTTCTCCTTAAAGGAGACCTCCATCCGCTTCGCAGCATTGCCGGAGATTTCTTAGTTGTGAACGGATGGGCCTTGTTTTGCAAGGTACCTGGCATGAGCGAGGAACTGCTGCAACGAGTAAGCTCGAACATGCCTCAGAGAGCTCGTCAATTGGGTTCCCAGAATCTTTGGGAAACTTAACTACTAGCGATGGCCTCCAAGCTAATAGCATATTGGTAAACTTTTGCCCTTTCATTCTGCCAAGACTGATCTAAGGCCTGGTGGTAGTTTGGAGGAAAAACTTGAAGAAGTGATCAATGTCTTCCAAAGTGGCGCGCGACATCTCGAGAGCTTGCAGCAGGTGCTAAGGTGCAATGCAGTCTTTTTTTCCTGAATGTTTTGAGTGAAAGGGTCCGGTATTTTTTGAGGCCATCGTGATAATAGTCAGCCAACTTGTTGACAAAACGACCCAAGGTTCATGGCAAAAGTTGTAGTCAGATTTCGATTTAACACACTTCTCACATTGCACTTTTGGTTCGACACATTGATGTCTTCATTCTTTGTATCTGGGGGGTCCCAAGACCACCAGCCACTACAAGCAAGAAAGGAAGACAAAAGGAAAACAACGCCCAATGCTAAGTTTCCCAAAGATTCTAGGAGCCAAATCATTAAGCCCAAGCCCTACTTGCTTACATCCCCTGGCCTCCTGCCGCCTAAAACAACAAAAGGAAAAACAACTAGTGGCCCAAAAGCCAGTATGAATGAGACATGTCAATGGATGTTTTTAATATCAGCAAACATAACAGAAAAATCACAGTTCTCTACAAACACTGTGCTTGAAGTAATTTGATACGTTATTTGAATGTCTAGAGTTCATTCACTGAGCGTTGTCCCAGTATGTGATGATACCGTGATGATATTAAACGTATTCCAGGTCCAGAAATCTAGAAATGAAACGGTTTATGGAGCAGCCCCCCCACATTGCAAGCCAGTCTTGGCAAAGTGTGTCAATGCATATGGACGCATGGTTCCCCACTTGTGACCAGGCGACGAGCTTTGGAAAAACGTCAAAAGGATTGCAAAGAGCTGCCCCCCAGAAGTGGAAGAGGCGGGCCAAGTTTCATAAAACATATTCTTTTGACGATGCCATGAGACTGTAATCGCAGGTCATCGCCGAAGGCACGTACTTGGAATCCTTTCTGGAGGCCGTGGCAACTCTTTTGGAAAGAAACGGAAGCAAAAAAGGAGACCATGCGCTACTAGGAACGAAGACGCTGAAGAATTACTAATTTTAATTCTAATAGCTTCTTGTTACTACTAGTAAGGCACCTGTTACTAGTAGCGATGCACTTGTTACTCCAGATTCGCAAAGTAATGGACGATGTTTTTTGGTGATCCGAGACACTGCTGGTTTTGGAGCCAGACTCAACGCTTCCTTTTTGGACATAGCGGTCTTGTAAGCTTCACAACTGACCCGGGCGCCTGAGGAGTCCACAGTTTTCCACTGTCCGCCAGGTTCAATACCGACCCTCCAACATCCCCCCAAACACTCCTTCGGACGATGACAAACCGCTTGCTATCTCCACCTCCGGGGGCAGGGGAGGGCATGCACGGACCTGCGCACCATCGAGCATGCCAGAAGATGTGCCAAAGATAGAAACGCCAAGAGATCTGCCAGTTCGAATGCCAGATATGACAGAAAGAGTGCCAGAACTTCAGAACAGATGTCAGAAGATATGCTAGATAGAATTCCGGAAAGGATATACACAAATTATGCTAGTAAGAATGCCGGAACGGACGTGCCAGATTGCTTGCCGGAAAGGGAGTCAGAAGATATGCCAGGTAGAATGCAGAAAGGATGTCACAAGATGTGCCAGATAGAATGCCGGTATACTTGGCAGATAGAATGCCAATACATGTGCCCTGTCATCTTCCAAATCGCCTTTGAGTAAGGGGATCACTCGAAGGAGTAATTGTCTTGTTGGCAGGCAGACCATGGGGGCCCAAGCTAGAAGAGTGGGGAATTCCCAACTGACAAACTAAGGCAGCTTGTTTCTAAAAGCTTCTTGTTACTACTAGTAAGGCACCTGTTACTAGTAGCGATGCACTTGTTTCTAATAGCTTCTTGTTTCAAATAGTGATTATATATTGTGCTAATGCGTGTGCAGCTTTGAAATTGTTGCCCCTGACGTGAGGCCTTTGATGGGCAGAGCTTCCTCCTCCACAGCGAAGAGATTGCTCCAAGCCACGAGTACCGGCTCGCGCTGGAGGTTTGTGCCCAAAAATTTCAGACAGTATCCGATGTGCTTGGCACACTCAACATTTGTATGACCAGATGCCGGGAGATTGAGTGTGTAATTAATTGCCACGCTAGTAGTAACAGGTGCCTTACTAGTATTAACAAGAATCTACTAGGAACAAGTGCCTTACTACTAGTAACAATAAGAGTTGACGCACCAAAGGTGAACTCTGGTGGAGCCTACTGGAAAAGCATTCCAGTCGAGGACCCGCCCAAATCATCAATGGAATATTTTCCAGTTGTTTTGTTTCCTGCTTCGTGGTGAGCCCACAACTACTCCCAGGAAGGGGCTGCAGTTCGGCACAATGTTGAGACAGTCACGGCTTCCTCCCCAGCAGAGGGTCTTCGCCTAAGTTCAAGATCAAGTATTTGGTGCTTATGTAAGTTTTCTTGCAGACACATTTTTTTGCAATGAGAACATGACATACTATTTTGCATTTTCTAGACTTTTTTCTGATAGACACAAGGGATAGGAAGGGTCCCTGCAAGGGATAGTTACGTCTGAGGCCCAACAAAGCCTTGCAAGTTTCCTTCACGTTGCGAGACAAGTTTTAAGCATGTCACCAAACCATCAACTGTTTGAGGTTCCATGAGTATCATTTCCCAGTTTGGTGCTGCGCAGAGAGGAGCCGTCGCCAACATAGGAGTTTCAGAAACCATGAAAAGATCAAGATGCCATGATCCTATCATTTATTTAACCCAAGGTCTTTGTGTGGCGTTGGCAGCACATCTTGGATGCGGGTCCTTACAAACTACCTGACTGGCTGGCCCTTTTCCAAGTTTGCTTGGTGCCTTTGGTTTGCTTGGTTTGCTGTTGCTGAGGAGAAGGCTTTAACTCTGGAAGGCCTTTCAGACTTGGTCTAGAGTGTCTAGGATCCGAGCAGAAAGGGTTTGAAAGGAAGAAAAGAGCATTTGGAGTGCAGCATTGGCACGCAAGGAACAGTAGCAAAGGAAAGAATGCTCACACAGCAAGAAAGGAAGGGGAATACCACAGTGAACCCCAAAAAGCAGTTGCTACCGTCCACTTACCTGTTTGTTGTCACTCTTGCTGCCTTCTGTCCATATGAGCACAGTGGCACAGGTCACGATCCGCTGCGAAAGCTGCAGACGGAATTAGAAGCTGTGCTTCGCTGGGAGCATCAGGCTCATCAGATCGTTGCGGCGAGAAATGCCTACTGTTTATTGAGTTCGAAAGAAATGAGTTTCACTGTTTCTTTGGTGTGAGGTGCAGCTGGAGACGTGTAAATACGTCAAACAGAACAATGAGATCAAGGAGCCTTTCAGCCTTTTCTGTCTAGGTGGAGGCCATCGCTATTAGGTTGGAGGCCATTGCTACTAGGAGCAAGGACGCTACTAGGGGCTCCTGGCCTTACTACTAGGAGAAAGAAGCTACTAGGAGCAAAGGGCATCGCTACTAGGAGCAAGGACGCTATGAGGTTGGAGGCCATTGCTATGGTTCCTTTCAGCCTTTCCTCTCTAGGTCCGGTACCGTTCTTTGCGAGCGGTTGGGCCACTTTGCGTTTTGCCTCCGATGTGGCCAATGTCGTGAGGACATGTACATTCGCGAGGCCGCTGTGAAGCGGGTACAGAGTGATGTTGCACAGGGTGAACTTGCCACGGCGACTGAGAAATTGGCAACCTAACAGCAAGAACGCTACTAGGGGCTCCTGGCCTTACTACTAGGAACAAGGACGCTACTAGTAACAAAGGGCATCGCTACTAGGGGCTCCTGGCCTAACAGACTCTTTCTTTTGCCTTCCACACTAAGCTGCATAGAGTAACCACTTGCCACTTGCTTTCTCTCAGATCAGAGTCTGACCTTGTTCATAGGAACAACTGGAACCTGCCTAAAAAATGGTGAGAAACACAGGGGTTTTGGAGGCTTTTCTTGTACCTCATTAAGGAGACGGAACACCAAAGGCTGCGCTGTTCCTTTTTCTTGTCTTTCGTTTGTTTCTTTTTTTTTTTCTCTCTCTCTCTCCCTGTTTCTTTCCTTCCTTCCTTCCTTCCTTCCATTGTCTTACTCCTAAGTCTACTCAAAAGCCGTTGGTATTTTCTTTGAGGGAGCTTGCTTGGGGGTTGCGCTTGTGGTCCCTGATTACGGCAAACATTCAGTGCAAAGCCAACCCTCAACTGGTTTCACAGCAACTACCCACTCAAATGCCTAGAAGCTCATTTCGCAGGACCTGATTCTTTCACCGAGAAATTTTTGCGATGTCAACATGTACGCCTTTATCGCTGTTGGTCTTTAAATACCCTTTACTTGGAATAGTCGTTTTTGTTTTTTAAACCGCTTATATAAACCCGTGCAATCTCGTAGGACCGGGTGACCATCACAGGACATCACTGGGCTCAGATGGTACAACAAGCGTTGAAAATATGCTACCTGCTACAGGCAATCAAGGTCTTCCTCAACGAAGGATCAGTGAACAAGTTCTTTTGTAACATGACATGATATCATGTAAACCAGGCCCTGGCTCCCAACTTGTATGGCCTTTACCTCAAGTTGAGTACAGGTGGAATGTAGACTGACATGCAAAGACATCGACATGGGACCCTGCCTTGTTTCACTTCTTGACTGCAGGCCCGCAAGAGGGTGGGCTGTTGTTGCGTGAAAACATTGCAAGGGTAAACAGATAAATCATCCAGAAGCGTCTACACACTTGCAGGGAAACTTGTTTTTCAGGGAGCTGTGTGCTTTATTCAGAAAGTTACAAGTTTCTACGCTAGTAGTAACAAGTGCCTTTCTACTAGTAACAAGAAGCTACTAGGAACAAGTGCCACGCTAGTAGTAACAAGTGTTCCAAGATTTGTTGCTTGGTTTCTGGTCTTTCGCCATTCTGAGCATGCAGGTTTTGCGTCTTTGGCCATCGGAAATCGATCACCAAGGGGTGGAAGCCTGCAAGAAATGTGCTTGGGTGCCTTTGGCTGAATTTTCTGCCTTTGGCTGTCAGAAGACCAGCATTCTTTGGCATAAGCAGACAGACTCCCATGGACCCGATATTTTTTTTCCTACTCAAAGGAGCCCAGCGCCGTGCAGCAGTTTGTGCAGTGTGGAACTATCACCCCTCCACTATGCTTCCATTTCAGTGAAACTTCCAATCTCCGCAGCAACTGCAGCTGGGGTGTGCAATTAGCTTCTCCCATGGGCAAAATCACCAAATCCATGCTGCAGCGAGAGGGAAACTCTAGTGCTGTTTGCGCCTTGCGAGTGACGACGAAAGGAACTGCACGGGCATGGTTCTCAGCTTTTAAGCATTTCTTCGTCAACGAGTCAGCGTCGTTAGTGCTGCTTTCACAATCTTTCACATCATCACATCGTGCTGAACCTTTGCCCACTTCAGTGAAAAGAAATCGCGCAAGCTGTGACTGTGGAAATTCATGCAATGCGTGTTAGCGCATCGCTATTAGGTGCAACGTGTGTTAGCGCAAGAGTTTGTACCCGCTCTTCTTACCGCACGCCCTGATCAAAGTGATACGACAAGAACAGCTCACCACATCGATCTCGCGCAACTCGCAGATGTTTCTAATAGCTTCTTGTTACTACTAGTAAGGCACCTGTTACTACTAGCGTGGCACTTGTTTCTAATAGCTTCTTGTTGCTTGTTTGTTCTGTCCCAAGTGACATCGGTCCGTGACATTGATCTTTTTCACAAGAGAAGTCATGATTGGTGTTGAGTTGATTGCGCACGCGAGAGCAATTCTCATGTTTTCATGCAGCCTGCAACCTGTTGATGTCGCGAGTTAGCATCAGCTGCACGGGAGGGTGCTGTTTCTGCCGGGCCTGGTGGGGTGTTCGGCAGATGAAGTTGAATTGGTTTGATGGGCACAGAAGAAAAACTGGGCATGCCAAAGTTGCACACTCAGGTGGAAGGGCTTGATGCCAACCTCTTCGCCAAGGGCTTGGAAACTTCGCGTGTCTTTCTGGTTTGACAATGGAAGAGGTTGGAGGCCATCGCTACTATTTTGGAGACCATCGCTTTTAGTCCATCACCAGAATGTTGGAGGCCATTGCTATTAGGAACAAGAAGCAACTAGTAACAAAGGGCATCGCTACTAGGAGCAAGAAGCTACTAGTAGCTCCTGGCCTTACTACTAGGAACAAGAAGCTACTAGTAACAAGTGCCACGCTAGTAGTAACAAGTGCCTTACTAGTAGTAACAAGAAGCTACTAGCAACATCAACAGAGCCAACCGCCTGAGACCGGGCGGAATGTCCTCGTGAAGAAAGTGCCGTACGATGCCGACCACACCTACGTGTTGCACTGCAACATTGCTCGACGTCAAGTGGGTGATGCAGACAAGGAGCAAAGGGCATCGCTACTAGGAGCAAGGATGTAGACAAGGAACAGAAGTTTTCAGGGTTCCCGCTAACCTTCTGAGAGAATGACTCGTGTTTGCAAGACTGGTCAGGAACAGCAGGGGCCGCCATACAGGTTGACCACATCCTGGCAGTTCGAGCCTAAATGTTTGAGTTGCCATGTGGAAGGGACATGAACCAATCGAGAACAAAACAGCTAAGTAACTCCAAAGAGAGAAAGTCAGACCTACTGGCGATGTCCTCCAACCTAAGAGCGATGGCCTCCAGCAAGTGTTGTCTGCCAGGTGGTTCCAGGACTCGACCGAAAAGGTGCGGTGCAGAAGTCGACTGCGAACGGAGCCTTTCACGAACGTCCCCCGTTCAGGCGGAGCCTTCCTTTAATGGCGCAGACTCCCCAGGAGCAAGGACGCTACTAGGGGCTCCTGGCCATACTACTAGGAGCAAGAAGCTATTAGCAACAATAAATAAATAGAACTTCTTTGAACATCTTTCTTTGGTTCAGTTGGACTGGACAGTGATGCGCGACACGGACATAGAACGTTCTCTCACTGATCTGCAATGCAGAAAAACAATGATCTTGGTGGATTAGGTTGGAGGCCATCGCTAGTAATTAAGTTGGAGGTTATGCCTACTAGAGTGGAGATTTAGATTCCAGATGTCCCATCATCATGACTTGGTGTACAACTTTGGTACTACAGGGGTATCGGATTTTCGTAGGCCAAAATTGCATTTAGGCGTTCTTTTAGGTCTTGATGATAAAACGTCTTAGTCGATCGCGGCTGCGTTCAATTGTGCGGAACTCTGCACTTCTTGCTGAAACATAAGCTAGACTTGCTGTCTTGAGAAACACCAATAGACTCAATAGATGCTTCTCACTTTGTGGCGTTTGGCATCGACCTCGCAACGCGCATCGAAGGGGAAAAAAGGACTCAATAGACCTGCTACTGGGCATCGACCTGAGGTGCAAAGTATAAGTCTGGCTGCTGTACCAGAAACTGCCAGCCCAGGCCGCCAATCTCGAGCTCAAAACTTGAGGAATTGGTTGAATTTATGACTTGGCAGGTGCGGGTGCGTCTCGCCCAGACATTTCGCGCACAAGCGTTCCGGTCATGGAGAAAGGGCCTCAGAGTGCGGCAAGTAGCCTCCAAATCCTTTGCGTTCTATGACCATGTGAGGTCATGTTCGGAGATGAGACCCAGCACTGCTGGTGCTTTGCTGCCCAAGCCTCAAGCAGTTAGCAGTACTAGCAACAAGCGCATCGCT